GATGTAGTGTTAGGAATGGATTGGGGAGAGGCAGCGGGGGCCACACTCCATCTGAGAGAGCATGAGTGTAGGCTCCCTGGTCCGTCAGGCGAAGTGAAGATTGCTCGCCTGTTCCATGCGTCTAGTGTAGATAACACCTTGGCGCATTGCTGTCTCAATGCTCCCGCGTTCGCGCGATTAGTAAGAAAGGAGCAGTTAGAGGAACAGGTCTTTGTGGTGTATGTTAAACCTGTCACTGAGGGTCAGAAGAAGGACAACTCCACAGACCCAACAATTGCCAAGCTGCTGGAGGAGTTCAAAGATTTGACTGAGTCGCCGACAGGAGTAGCGCCGCGACCCATCCAGCATAGGATAGAGATAGAGCCTGGGAGTAGAACACCTAAGGGTGCAGTCTACAGGATGTCCCCTAGAGAGTTAGAGGAGCTTCGCAAGCAGTTAGACGAACTCCTTGAGAAAGGGTGGATCAGGCCCAGTTCGTATCCTTTTGGAGCACCCGTTTTGTTTGTCCCCAAGAAGGAAGGAGAGTTGAGAATGTGTATAGACTATAGGGGATTAAATGCGATCACCGTGAAGAATGTTGAGCCGCTGCCCAGGATAGACGATCTTTTAGATCGGGTGCAGGGTTGTAAGTATTTCTCTAAGATAGACTTAAAGTCCGGATACCATCAGATAGAGGTTCATCCTGATGATCGGTACAAGACTGCGTTCCGGACTAGATATGGGCATTATGAGTTGATAGTGATGCCCTTTGGACTAACTAACGCGCCAGCTACTTTTCAGCGTTGTATGAATGACCTGTTTAGACCAAGGTTAGATAAATTTGTAGTAGTCTACTTAGATGATATCCTAGTCTTTAGTAAGACCCTCCACAAGCACCAGGGTCATCTGAGGCAGGTCTTGGAGAAGCTTAGAGAGGCTAACTTCAAGATCAACGCGAAGAAGTGCGAGTGGGCCAAGACGCAAGTCTTATACTTGGGCCACGTGTTGGACGGAGATGGCATTAA